TGAGATTTATAGTTAACTCCTAATGTCCTTTTTAGCAAGGCGTATATGAGTACGTATTTTAGGTGCGTAAGAATTTATTATAAATATTATGATGATGGCTATATTTTTTATATTAAATAGGGCACGCAATTCCTACTCGTAAATATTATGTTTCTCTAAACATTTTTTAGAATAAGCATGAATTTCGAAATTTTTACATATTTTACTTATTTTATAGAATGATTCACTAAGCGTGCGCTCATCTCATTTTCGGTTAAATTTTGCATATACGTATTAAAATTCTGATTTTTAGAATCTTTAAGTATAGTTAAAGCTGATTTGTTCGAATATTTAGGTTTTTCACAACATTTAAGATGTGGTGATACCAACTTTGGTTTTTCAAATGAGAATCCATATTGAAAATTCCATAAATGAACGGAGTATTACTTTCGAAAATATTGGGTTTAACTATATTTAAAAATGCTATAAATCAGAATTTGAACAAAATTTGGAAAATTTAACCAAAATAATGGGGTAAACACGCTTAGTGAATCACTCTGTATATATAATACTGTTTACTGTAGCAGTTTATTTTTTTCGACAGTGTGTCTTATTAACACAATAACTATTCGCTATTCATTATTAATTCGTTTATCGCGAAAGGTTGCATAATGGTAAATAATATATAATACGTTATCGATTAAAATTTTGTATTGCCCATGTCGTTGTTTTCACGTTTTCGGACAAGAATAATACGTGTAGAGTGTCCCACGAAAATATACCTATTGCAATATCTCGGGTTAACTTTTTACGAATTTATTTCTTTTGGAAACTTGCGAAACAAATAGTCCTAAGGTGCTACATTTTTTTTGTCACTATTTTTTTCGGAGGGGTGAAACGGCCACCTACTTTTGATTTTCAAACTGCAACCTATATTGAAAATTCCTTAAATAGACGGAGTATTAGTTAAAATAATTTTTGGTTTTGACATTTTTGATTTCCGTCAAGCGGTTCACGAGATATTCCATTTCTAAATTTAGTCCAGAGGGAGTGAAGCGGAGCACTATCCAAACCACGCGCGCCCACCGCCACACAAAATGCTGCCCCACAACGCGCCTCCCGTCTAAACTTCAAAGTGGAATATCTCGTGAACGGATTGGCGGTAATCCAAAATGTCTACACCGAAAATTATTTTAACTAATATCCCGTCTATTTGAGGAATTTTCACTGTAGGTTGCCGTTTGAAAACCAAAAATTTTGTAATCGTTTCACCCCGAAAAATAAGAGTGAAAAAAAAAAATAACGCGGCGTTTTAGAACTATTTTTTTTTTTTTTTTTTTTTTTCGTAATTTCCAAAAGAAAAATATTTTGAAAAAAGTTAATATTTTCCGAGATATTGCGATGAGTGTATCTTCGTGGGACACCCTGTATATATATATTATAGGTATTGAAGGACAACGTGCGGACGCCGTACCGTACAAACATACGCATTATCGTCATCGTGGTGATCACCGTCACCGCGACGACGGCGGATAAACGATGTCCGGTTCCACGTACACAATACAGCGACTCCTAACCCGTGCGCTCTCCACACACGTCCACATCGCTGTGATGCAGCTGCTGCGACAATAAAACACGTATCTCTTAAACGTACATTACGTTTTTGTATTACTATTGGGTACTCGTACGACGATGTATATTATATAAACGCGTGCCGATAAACCATGCCAGTGGTGGTATAGCAAACAAATCGGTAAAAAAATTATTGCCACAGTATATAATGTTATTATAGAGTCGAAGCGGGCGCACAGCCCGGTGACGAATTCAAAGGGGCGGTGAGAGGGTCAGGTTAGGTTAGGTTAGGTTAATTGAGAATTATTTCTCCAATCAAATATCGGTACCTACCGAAGACCGTAACTAGGAGCGACGGGGGATGGAGGGGGGAGGGGTGATTCAGTGGTGTACGTTTGGACGCGAAAAATAACTGTGTAGGTACTCATATACATAACAAATTGTATATTCCTCGCTTTGAAATTTATTTGCAATACCTATGATACCTATGGTACCGGTTCGTCCGGTGGCGCGCGCAGAAGGATGGAGGTTTGGGATTATGTCTTCCCCTCCCCATTGACTTACAAATACAACAACAAATGAGTGTTTATTTCGTAATTTTATCTTGAAATTATATAAATATAATATTATGTTAGTCAAATAAAAAAAGACAAAACTTGATTTATGGAAACAAATTTTGGTTTTCGAAATTCTCACTTTCGGGTGAAGTATAAGTATAACGCATAACGATTTTACTAGTTTATTGCGGGTCTTTTTCCCCTTACGTTTAAAATTCTTAGCCGCGTCACTGAGTTCGCTCCCTAAATTAGCTTCAGATCTACCACCATGCACAGCACACGTGTTTGGCAACAAAATATGTGTATAGAAAGTGTACCTATTGCTGCATGCAGGAGGGTGCAACAGAGAGAGAGACTCGCCCTCGTTTACACTGCACGCAGTAAAAAAGGAAACGCACAATGACCGTGAATGTTACATGTATAATTTTTTTTTTATGCAAATTTTCGCGATGCAATTTTTTTTTACATGCATCATCGTGTCGTTGGGGAGTCGTCTGCGTGCGAAATTCACAAACGACATAAAAATTGTAATAATAAAAAACCCGAATATACTCGGAACAATACTGTGTGCTTACTATAAATATACACGCGTGAAAGCGGTTACGATATTACAATATCATAACATAAGAGTGTGTGGGTTATGCAGTCTCCATACATTATTATTATTATGTAGAATGTGCTGCAGCTGCATAATTTGCAATCGGTTACTTTATTATACAATGTATATACATAGTTAAAGTGGGAAAAGCCTTAAAGGGAGGCTTTATTTTCTAAAAATTGAGAGGCGTTCCCGAGTACTGACTAAACACAACCAAACTTTTTTAGGAAACCCATCACGTAAACAAGATATTTCCCAAAATGCTTTTCTCACACGCTACGCCTATATGATCCTAATAATTATTAAAACACACATTTCAAATCGAACTAATTCTAGTTTCTAAAATACCTCAGTAACATATAATTAAATTATAATTAAAGCGTCACCACATATTCTCTGTGGACTCTGAGGACTGAAGTCTTATGGGGATGGACAATAATTACCTTACATAAGAAGTGGACTCCGTCCCACTACGATCTTCGCACTCCAACCACTATTTGTATTAAAAGTGTGGTGGTTTCCCGAACAACATTCCTAAAAATGGTTTCAATATTATGTACTATACAGTAGATTTTTCTAGTTCTGAAACTTTTGCTCTTTAAATTGCACATCATATAAACGATATACTTATGGCTAAATTGTCAATGAATTGAATACAATTTGTTTCGTGGCAGCGCTGATTTATTGAAGTTGCGATGTCTCGATCCAACTACCGGGCAATGACTATACGTAGAATAAGCTTACGCATACTAACTAAAACTGAGCTAAGTTTTAATTGTAGAGTAAAAGTATTTGTTATGAAGTTTATAGAGAACAATATTTCGGAGTGGATCTCATAGGACATACGTGTTTTTTGAAATTATGAACTATTAAATAAGTTACAATTGTTAAAAAAAAATAAGGAATGTTTTCGTGCCTTTATTTCGAGCTGTATACATAGAGCAATACCAAAAACCCGATGAGGTTCGCTGCACAACGTTATTTTCTATAAGTTTAATAATATGTGCTTTTACTCAAAATTCAAAATCGAGAGTTGGTTTTTGGCTGCGTTGTTTTTGCGCATCGTCCCGGTAGTCGGACCGAGACGGTAGCCGCTGCGGGTAGCTGCGTCCTCACTGGATTGATCGACCCCGAAAACCGCCGATCCGATTTGAAATAAAAACTACCGGACGGTGTGCGCGATCGGACACACACACATACGTGCAATCGCGGAAAACCGCGTCGAAAACGGATTTCGAACCGATATTGTCGGGGTTGTAACGTATTGTTTAGCCGGTAGCGGCGCGGCCGGGGGTGAGGGGGAGGGGGAGGGGAGGGGTGGTCGAAAACCGGGGATATTTCGTACACGTCAGCTATACGGCAGGCGCCTACCCACGTCGTTGGTCGGGAGGTCTTATTTTCATTTCGTTGCGTAACTCGCCGGGTTCGCCGACGCCTACGCCAGTAGCTCCGCACACAAGTACATAATATAATATTATGTATGTATAACAATAATAATGTATTGTATTGTATTATACTGTATTACGGCGTATTGCGCGTATGCGTGCGTGCACGTATCGCTCTCGGCGGCGGCGGCGGCGGCTGACGGCGGCGGACGGCTGACGGCGGCGGACGGCTGACGGCGGACGGCGGACGGACGGGAAAACACCAGTAACGGTCTGCCGGCTGCCGCGTGAACGTTCCCGATACGCGTTCACTATGACGTGTAGTACGTACCTCCGCCACCACCGTCGACTCCGCCAACACCGCCGTCACCTCCGCCGCAGCCGCCGCAGCCGCCGCCGCCGACGCCGGCACCAGACACGCACTTGGTTAACGGGCGTAGAACTTTCGAGACCTAACGCCGGAAAATAATATCTCCTACTGCCTAATACGGCTACGCCGCACGTCTCCGTACACAATACATAATATATATATATATATCTATATATATGTTTATAAATATATAATATATTATCTTATCTGTCTACGTAATTTCGTACAGGACGCACTATATTGTGTATGTATTTAAAGTAATTAAATACATCGTATAAATAAATAAATATCGTATTATGGTACGCGCGTCGTAACATTGTGAAAATACGACGCGACTGGATATTATTGTCCGTACGTCATAATAACAATAATAATAATAATAATAATAATAATACGGACGTGTAAAATATACGTATCGTTTCACCGTCGTGATGTATGCGTGCACATTGTATGTTTCAGGGCGCACGATTGAATTTCGGTCAAAAACGGTGCAGGACGGTACTGACATTAGCACGCCGAGACTTTTGATGCGCTGTAACATGTCGAACGTGGCGGTCATCGCTGTTGCTGCTGCCGCTCTCGTGCTGATGACCGCCGAAACAGTGGCGGCGGACGGCGGCAGCGGCGGTAGCGGTAGCGGCGGCGGTGGCGGTGGCGGCGGTGGCAGCGGCGGCGAACAGCAACGCGGCGCGACCGCTGCCGCCGCCGCTGACCGTCAAGACATGACAAACGACGATAACTCCCCGCGGACGCCGTCCGCCGTACAATGTACGAGCTGCCTGGCTCACGAGGGCATCAAGTCGCTGAGCATCGAACTGATCAAAGCGTCGATACTGAACAAGCTGGGCATGCAGCGGCCACCGGAGTTCGGCGATCGGCGGCCGCCCAAGGTGCCCACCGACCTGCCGCCCTTACAGGACCTCATGAAAAAGTACAACACCGACCGCGACGGTTCCGTCGTGGTCTTGCCGCACATCCGGCACAAGACGTCGCGTCACTACGAGGCGCCGAGCGGCGTCGCCGAAATGCAAAGCGACGAGGCTGCGACAGCGGCGTCCGAGAACACCAGCAACAACAACAGCAACAACAACAATAACAACAACAACAACTACTACAGCGGCGGAAACGGCGGCGGCGGTGATGACGAGGAGGACGATTACCACCTCAAAACGCACAAGCTAATAGCGTTCGCACAGATACGTAAGTGCGCATACCGACTCGTAATTATTATTATTATTATTATTATTATTATTATTATCATAATCATCATCATCATCATCATCATCATCATCATCATCATTATCGTTGTTGTACATATCATTATAGTTTATATTAATCGATAAATAATACGCGTGACAAAGGAGGCGGACCCCGGGAACCGGTACCGAATACTTACAATTTCGTCAAAACCGGGCGAGTTATTTAATTTCGGTAACCGGGTTGGGTCAAAGTTATTGTCTTACTCGATCGGTATTTAAACGAGTCACGGCGTACAGTACGAGTGAAAAGTACTAGTCACTGGGTACCGCGCTAGTTATAAACTATTGTATTGGTCAACACTGCGTACAAGTTAATCGGGGGGGGGGGGGTGATGAGGGAGTGTAGGGGGAAAGTCACTACCGAGCGAATAATACTAATCGCGCGGGTTGAAAAAGAAGAAATACGCAAAATAGTATAAAAAAAGTTATTATTAATTGATTTTCGACAGTTAAATTTTTTATATTTTGGAGTAAAATTAATTTTTTTTTAAATTTGTTGAAGTTTTCATCATACAAAAAGTGTCGATGGGTGTTTTGTTTCTTTCTCATCATAGTGAAAAATCTAACCATTTAGATTCCGAGTGGAGCGGAGAAGCTTATGGTTTTACAAAGATGTTTATTTTTTTTTATTGTGCACAACTTTTCAACCAGCTTTTACTTCGACTTATAATAATAGCTATGTTTTTTATAGGGAATTTCATTAGGGCGGTACCTCTAGAGAGGTAATTTTGCTATTTTCCCGAGAGTTTTTCCAACAAATGTGAAAACACGGGAAAAACGTAGGAAAACTTGAAAAATCGGTACAACATTAGACAAAAATTGTTAAAGACCATCTACAGAGCCTATTTAATTATTTTATTAACAAAAACGACACAGACACATATTGTTGACGAAGCACCACTGTCCAACCGAACTCCGCTCAGCAGCGTTTTTTCGTGAGCAATGGTTTACCGTTGCTTGGCATCGATGGGTGCACATCAAATAGAACAGCGGCTACACCCGTCCCCATCATTCTGAAACGTATTTGTATTTGTATTTGTATTTTTTTTCTTCGCTTATTAGTGCCCACGATACGATACGGTTCTGTTCATCCGGGCCCGGCGTTTTTGGTCGGTCGCTATTTATAACGCGTGTGCCTGTAATGTTATGTTTCCCGCCTTGGCCGCCGTCGAAGATTTTCACGGTCAAACGAACCGGCCCCAGTCCGCCGCACCGCCGCCGCGTGCGTCTTGTGCGGGCGCGTGCAGCGTATGATAACAATTATCAGGTGCGCCGTTTATGCCTGGCGACGGCCGGCGTGTTTGTCGCGTTATATCGCTACACTGTTGATCAGAGGCGCCGTGTGCGGCGGTAGGGGGGGCTCTGGGACTGCAGCCCCCTACCGCGAGCTCGATGAGACCGGCGGTCGTCATTAAACGCACGCTTTCGGATAAAAAAAAGAAAAAAAGATCGCCGTTCAAGACCGCACACGCTTGTATGCATAGTTTTCCCGAAATGTGAACAGTATCGTTTACCGCACGCGTTTGATTTTTTTTTTTGATTTTTTTTCGCTTTCCAACTAGCGTTTCGAAATCAAATTTAAACGAAAATCGCAAAAAAATCACGGCACTTCAAATTGCGTATTGCCGAACTGCGCTCGGAATCGTCTTTCGTTCAAGCAATGGTTCAATCGTTGCTTACAGATATAAATGAAATAACCTTATGTATCTTAACTTCCTAACTTCTCACCTATAACAGTGGCCGTTTCATTTTTTTTTCTTTCTATGTAATTCGTTTAACATTTATGATTGTGGAAATCTGGGATTTTCAGCAGGTAAACGCCCGAAAAATGTACGCGAAGTTCATCGTAAGTTGGAGTTACTATCGAGAAAAACAATAAAAAAAAAAAACTGACGACCGTTATGAGGAAGTTTTTCGGCGCGGATGAGGTATACTTGAATCACGCGATTTATCGAAAAAACGACTGGGTGGGTAGGTAGTGGGTACCTGGATGTTTAGAAACACATTGTTGTGTTTTTACAAAACAAAAGTAGTTAGAAAAAAAGAATGAAATTCGATAAATATCATTAAAGACCCCCGAGGACACTCGGTTTTATCTCGGGTTTGTAAATTTTGCGGTATTTTCGTAGGAAAATTCATTCGGCGATTCGAGGTAAATATACTACCACCGCTATGCCGTCAACGATATGAGCTCTTCTTCTTATATTTATATGTTTTTCTTTACTGTTACTAAGGTTCTTAAAAAATACATGTGTATATATAGTGGCGACTATAATATTATTAGCCGGCGAGACGGTGTTACATTTCCGATTATTTTTTTTTTTTATTAAAACTGCGGCCACCTCGTGCCGTGTCTACCAGGAGACGTGCCCGACCGCGTTTCCTCGCGTGTGCGCAGAGGGGAGGGCGATTGAGGAGAAGGGGCGGCGGCGAGAGGATCGCAGGTGGACGACAATATAGAACGCGCCGGACAAATCCACAGTTGTTTTACGCCGTGAAATCCCGTTACTATAATATTGTCATCGTATTATTATTATTACTCCGCCGTACACGCAATTGTTACCGTCCCGTGTCACCGTTTATACCTAACCCGACGGCGAATTTATAGCCTATCGGAGTATTCCGTATTTTGTAATCGGTGCTCGGCGATTTTTATTAATTTTTTTTTTTTTTTTTATCGATTTTTAATGTAATAATCGGGACGAACCGGGAAACCCGGGAAATTTGGCGCGCTCGTATATACAAGAGACTTTCGTTTCAAATCGTTTTTCGTTACGCACAAGTATAAATTTTCGAATTCTCTACTATGTTCGACATTCCCGAACTTTTCGCCTACAACTGTGGCCCACCCGTCGTATGAAGTACGTCCGTCTTTTTTTTTTCATTTTTTTCCTTTTAGACCGCGAACGAAGCGACAAACGTTTTGCTTTTACCACGCGATGCGTGTGTTTTTTTTTTCCGGGCTGTTCACGTAATCCGTTCTATTCGGATGTGTCGCACGTAATTCAGCGACAAATATAATATTGTGTGCGTCACGCACTTCAACGATCGTCACTCTCCGGTAGAGTGTACGGCAAACAGACCTATTATGCGTTTTATATAGGAAAACGGTTTCTCATACGTCTCGACCGGAATTATGTTTGTTTTTTTTTTTTTTTTTTTATTCGTTTCTCAATAAGTCATTAATGGTCAAAATCTAGGGAAATTGAGTGAAACTAAAATACGCATTATTTCAGTGATAATAATGCGGTTATTAAAGAAAAATTATTCGACTAAGATATAGTGAATAGTAGATTCTTCAAATATAGTTAGAGTGATTATGAGTTAGATACATGTTTTACCATTTAATGTTATGGTAACATTATTATCGGAGAATCGATTCTTTTCATATCGATTTTTTGTGGATAGATTGTTTTGTTTCGATTTAAATCGATTCACTACCATGAGACAGATGGCAATGAAAACATATTGTGCATTAACGAGTTTTCGATCGAAAATATTTGCTGCGAAGATCATCAACTTCAGCGATGATCACTGATTGTAGTAAATTTTGTCTAGCTGTCACATTTGGGGTGTTATTTTTCGATTTTCCGTGGTGTATAAGTTTTCTAAGTACCGGTGTGAAAAACAGAAATATTTACGCCATAACGGATTTGTTCATTTCTTTTTCGACTGTAATACACTGAACTATAGTCGATGAGATCCGAAACTTTTACCGAATACTTACATGTATATCAGCGTTCAGCACTGTTTAGCCGTAGTGTGATTATCAAAACGCATAGCGTTATTTTCTAGTCACCTATTCTCTTTCGAATTTGTTTTCTTTGTGGAAAATCATTTTTTTTTATTCGCCTATTAAGTTTAGTTTTATACTGAAATTCGTTAAAAATACCTTTGTCGCAATAAATTAAAGTAGGTACATACAATGTTAAATTAAAGTGTTTCAAAACGCACGACCAGAATCGTTTTTTACGGCGTGGCTGTGAAATGATTCGATTTTTACGTCACATATTATAAGTACATATATTAGTAATATTTTTTATTAATATTTCGAAAAAATATACGAACAGTGTTTTTTTTTTTATTATTATTATTCTGACCGTGGCGAGAAATGTATTGTTTTTAGTTTTCTGCCATATGATTTCGATTTTATTTTCTGTCGGCGAATAACTTTTCAACCAGAAATCTTGCTCCGATCATCCAACACCCAGGGACGGTTTTTGTAGAAAATGTTTGATTGTTGGCTTTTTTTTAATGGTATTTGTAGCCATCCTAATAATCAGGAGCACCCTTGTCGGAGAAAAATAGGAAAATTTTACGGCAATAACAGTTAAAGTTATTTTGTCTATTTTTTTCGTCATTGTTAAAATAATCGTAGAGACCCGAAACGTTTGGCGAATAGACATATTTACTAATATCGGAATAGAAAACAACATTTCAATAAACCGAGATGTACACTCGGGAACTCTGTGTGTACTGAACTTTTCTTTCTTTGTTTGTTTTTTTTTTTTCCGGTTTATTTCGCCGAAGTCGATTTTGATGCATCACTACGAAAACGTCCAGTTCCACCCGCGCCGAAAACCCGACGTAATTTTCGAGCGAATAATTTCGCGAAATAAAAATGCATTCGTGTACCTATGATAATAATAAAATAACCGTGAACGGGAACGTCGCATTACAGGAGGTCTTACGCGCGTAGATAATAATTGACCACATGCTTAATATAATAATAATAATTCCGTAAAGGTAATTCGACAACGCACGTGTGCAACAAATACGAGTATATATGTGTGTGTGTACAAGTAATAACAATATGTCTGGGGCTGGCTCAGACAGGCTAAATATGATAAAAAAAAAAAAAAAACGACGACGAATAAACCGTCTGAGTCGATTCCGGGATGCTCGTATTTCGTCTTAATAAGGGTGAAGCTCTATAATTTGCTCCGTCTGTCTCTCCGGCGTGTCCGTGTACGAATTTTCAGGGTTGCTTAAGTAATATACACCTGTAATATAATAATAATAATAATAATAATAATAATATAATATTTAACAAAATGCACCGCGCTGTTACATAACGGCCGATAACTTGAATATAATATGTAGAAATGCGGGTATACAATCAGGGGTACAACACTGCAATGCTATGCGTCGTTCGCGTTCCTATTTTATTATAATTATTAGAGACCCGATTTATCATGTTCTCAAATAATCCACGAAAAGACGCTTTAAAATATTTAAAAAAAATCCCCGAAAAAAGCGTTTACAGACATTTAAAAAAAAGCAAAATGGATAGAAGAGTTTAAAATAAGTCTCCCCGCTAATGACTCTAACACAACAAAATCGATTCACGCAAAATAATTTCTTTTAAAACATAAAATCGTGCGTATTAAAAAAAAAAAAAAGGACAGACATACTTCGCCACTGTTTTAGGTGGGAAGTCGGGAATGTAAGATACAGCCGGGAATTTATTGTACATCTGTAAGCAACGATAAATTATTGCTAACGAAAAAACGATTTTAAGCGGAGTTCAGTTGACAGTGTTCCTTCGTCAACAATATAAATGTAATATTATGGTAAAATGGTTACGACAATGTGCGTTTCTATGACAACAATGATTGTTAAAAAAGGTTTTGAAATAATACAAATTAATACGAAAAATAAATATAATCGGTTGCCAATAACAACTTTATTTTTAATCTCTGGTTTTCGTCATTATTTCGAATATTAATGAGAATTTCCAAAAAATAACTCCACTAAAACACCGTCCAGTGAACATTTCCTTTGAGAAAAGGTGCTATACTTGATAATGACAGGTAGACAAAGTGTTCACAAAAAAAAAAATAATAATAATAATAATAAACATCATTGTAAAACCAACACATTCCTCGCTTCAATCATAATCTATAAAAAAAAAGGGCCAATTTTATTAATCATTTTTGAAATGTTAGACAATTTTCTTTACAAGTTAAATCCGTTGTTAGACGGGGAACTTTTAAACCCGTCTTTTATTTTAGCATTTTTAAATATATTTTTTTTTTCAAGAATGTTTTTTGCGACGTTTTCGAGTGATTTTTCGTGGACTTTAAGACCATATAAATCCGGGCTCTAATCACAATATTTTCAATTATGTAGGAATAGGAAAACGTATCGATTGATACATTCGTCCGCGCGAGTTTAACGCACCCGGCGGCGTCTCGGCGGACGCGAAATTTTTCGTATAATTCGCGTAATAAAACACCAACGTACATTTCTAAATAATAATAATAATGTTATTATTATTATTATTATTATTATAATTCATTCCGGTTCGCTATTCCGTACCGTGTAAAAGTATTATTACGGCGGCCGTGCGGTTCTGCGGATTCTGCGAGCCGCGCGCATATTATGCGCGCTCGGATAACTGCCGCCGCCGCGCGTGCAGACTGCGGGCCATAGACGAGAGGTCAACGAATCCACTCGTACGGCCGGCGAAGTTTTCGCGCTAAATACGGTAAAATATTCGGCGCGTATAGGTAAAAACGTTCGTCCGGTCCGTACGGGGCCGAGTCGGCCCTACACTACGGCGAAACGTTACGTGCCCGCAGTTCGAGTATAACAGAGACGAATAAAACGCGACGGAAACGCAATATTAAATAAATATTGTAATAAAAACGACCGAAAATACTAAAAAAAAAAATGCTCTAAAACGTCAAGCTTGAAAAACATTGAAAAAAACAAAACAAAAAGGCAAAATAAAAGTTTTACCTTTGAAATCTCTGCTACACGAATCAAACCATGTACTTGGAAATCATTGCCTAAAATTGCTGAAAAAAAAAAAAAAACGCATTATACATTGAAATCCGGGCGCTCTACTTATAATAATAATGTTACAACGAATTAAAAACGATCGGTCAGCGAATCGGAAACGAACGAGTCTCCGACTTTATCGGAGGAATCGGAAGACCGGAAATCGTATTGTATAGATAACAGTTTTCCTTCGTTTGCATTGCTATGCAATTCTAAAACCGTTTTTGGCCCGAGATGCGCGGCAGGAGAGTTCAACCGTTTTGGGGGTTTTGGCGAACAGAGCGGTCGGAGCGAAAGCGTTTTGTAAAACGTTTCGGCGACGCTTTGGATTCTCAGAGGTCTCTACGGAGAGTATTATTTGCAATTTCGCAACGCCAAACGGAGTCTCGGTTATTTCGGGGGTATGAAATGCTCGAATTCCAGTAGTGTCGGATGGTTTGGCCCACACGTGAATCATCGAAGTGTATAAAAGAAAAAAAAAATCGTTTAATCCATTATATCGATGGATATCTGCATTTATAATTTATAGTGAATTAACGAGTCGATTTCTTTTTTTGCTCCCCCCTCCACTTTTTCGGTCAGTAAAATACTCGGATATTTTCACACCGTGGATACTACTATAAAACACGTCGAATTTCCGCACGGGTGGTACTTTACCAGACAAGTTTTTTTAGAAATTCCCGACTATTCGACTAGCCCCCTAGATTCGAATTTTTTTTTCTTATAAAACATAATATTTTTGTTAATAAAAATCATCCGAATCGTTTACATCGTGCCGGTAAAGATGCGGATTTCTCGGCCGCAGCAGTGCTTTAATTGAAAACATAGTTTTTCCAAAAAAAAAAAAATATCGAAAAACAGACAACAGATGGCATATCGACAGTACGGCTTTAAAATTTTAGAATTTCACGATATACTTTGGTAAACAACACAATTCGCTTTCGACTACGGCCCGTCGTCGAACGGCTCGGCTAAAATTGTACAGCACCCGGAGCGTAACGCGAGCGTCCTCCCCGTCTAGTCTGTGCGCTGAGGTCAAATTTTTTTCCTAATCATCTGTCCTCGGAGTGTACTAAACAATCGGGTAAAAAAAAAAAAAAAACCACGGGAAAACCGAGAAAACGCACGGCGAACAGCTAACGGTTTCTCCGTTTTCGATTCCCTACTGTCCGGTCGCCGTCCGCGTACCTGAATGTACAATGCGTGTAAAATACGCACTGCGCATACGTACGCACGTCGTTTTTTTACGACGCGTAACACGTATTTGTTATTTATCATTTCGTCTGAACGTCGTCGCGTGACGCATCCCGTCGTCGGATGATTAGTTGCTGCTGTGACACACAGGGTACAATAAATACCGCGATGCCGATATCGCTTACTATTATTCTCTCCGCCGGACGGACGCATTGTTTGTCCGCGTGCGTGTGGGACGTGCGCACGCGTTTGCCGTACGGACGTAATAAAAACGCGAGGTTGAGGTTTTTTATTTTTTTTTATTATTTTTTTTTTTTTTTGTTTCTGTCGGAACGTGGTGCCCGAGGCACGGATATAATACAGCGTACGCTTTACATTCAAGGTGAATTTTTCGTCGCGATCTAGGTAGTTTTCGAGTACCGATCGGTTTTTCGGGTCGTTTTGCCCGTCGTCGTAACGCCGTTATGGCCGAACGAAATATCAGACGGAATTCCGGAGATTGATAACCCCATACCCTATCGCCTATAAGCAAAAGACAAACCCACTCTGAGCGACGTCCTTTGGGTCGCGCTGAATCAGAAAATCAATATACAAATGATCGGAACGAAAAAATCACTCCGTATCACAGGCGTAGGAAGCGGGGTGGGGGGAGTCCAGGGGAGAAAAAACTGCACTCGTTCGGTATATTAAAAAAAAAAAAAAAAAAGGCGTAACGAGAAAATCTTTAACCGCGTGCTCGTTTTCGAGGAAAGCTGTAAGAAATGTCGAGGGGACTGGTGGATATTTTGGTGGAAGGGGCTACAGTCCCGTAGACCCCCTCGTCCTACGCGTGTATTCTGCTTACGACGCTTTGACGCGGCCGTCACGGTACTCAGTGCCGTAGTTAGGTTTTTTTTTTAGGGGGCGATACGACCAAAATCGTTTGCACATTTAAGAACCAAAGGAACAACCCTAGGATATCTGTCCATTTGGCTCCCCCTCTTGTTATCATACTTTTCTAGTTTCCGTAAAGTGCACTCTTATATGCCATGATATTACGTAAAACTGTACCAACATTTATAATAATATATTATACATTTGTTTTCATAACAAGTTAGATGACAAAATAATATCCATTCTTCGTGGTTTCTTGAGATATTTCATCCAACATTTCTACATTAATTTCAATAACTCGATGAACGCTTCACGTCGCTAAACCATTTAGCCTCTTCTAAAACGTTAAAAATAAAACATTACGAAACGCATAGGTTAATGTAGTATTTCGGTATTACTTTGGGTGTCTACTTCAGACGTTGCGTACGTACGATTTAATCTTTTTCAAACCCGAAAACGAGATACACGATATTTTAAACAGAAAAAAAATGTGCGTGATAGTGTCTTCGTTGAATTTTAGCGAACCGTCGAAATGCTGATTTTAACGTAACGTTTCGATTTGCAAGTCTGTCAACGGTGCCGCGTCCGCATCGATTTCTGGACGGGAGGGGGGTGAGGGGAAATGCTCTGGCGGGTGATGCAATCATCACCCGGATCACCCGTGTCCCCCTACCCCGTCCCGCACCGTAAATGCGCCACTGTCGGTAGTGTACCGGAAAAATAACATCGCGCGGCGAGTGATTTGTACCGCGCGGACGGGTAAGAACCGAACGCGCGAGGGACGACGGCGGCGGCGGCGAGTACGCTCGCGCGGTATAATGGGAGTGCACGCCTGTAACGTGCCGACGCGTAGACCAGTACCGAACGGACAATGCGTATAAAAATATAATAAAACGTATAATATAATATTATTGTCGTTTATATTCGCAATACGCGTAGTGACGGCCGTTCCGAGAAACCCGGCGAATTATTATCATCGGCGGCGGCGTAATAATAAAATTATTATTGTTTTTCCCGTCGACGACGACCGCGCGACGAGTCTAACCTGTTTTTTTGCGCGTTTTTATTATTGTTTTTTTTTTTTCTATACGTTACACGTATATTCTGTTCGGTACGAGACATACGGGTTTTTTTATTTTTTTTTTTTTACCCACTACCCTCCCCCCGCCCCGCTCCCGCCCCGTCGAATCGGCCGTGCGGCGCGTACGACTTACCTGCCTACGCGACGTCGTCGTCGCCGTCGCCGTTTCGCGTACGCACGGAACGTACCGCCGCGGCGGCGGCGGCGGCGGCGGCAGGGACGTTTCTATACGTTATTAACGGCGGCGAGACGTTTCCCAACAATATTATTCGTGTTCAGCGACTTTCGACCGGACCGTATTAATATTATTATTATTATTATTATTATTCCGCATATAATACAATAAGTCAACCTAACCGTATTACAATCGCCGCCCGTGTCGTATATATGTTTATATATGTATGTATTCACGTGTATAATATCGCATGCGGCGGCGGCGGCGACGACGTGGGGTGGTCAATTGGCCGTGTTGCGGTGTCTCGCGGTCGCGAGCGGCGGACGGTGCGCGCGCGCGCGGCGAGGAGACGGACGGCGGGGAAAAAACACCGGAGAAACCTTACGCGACGGCGGGCGGCCGTCCGGTGTAATACGTGCTCGGACAAACGACGATCGCCGCCGCCGCCGCCGCGGGCCAGCCGATAAACTTTTGACACCGGCGGAATGCCGCCCGGTCGCCGTCGTCTGCGACAGCAGCAATAAAGGTCCCCGTCGTCCCGGACGCGGTTTCCCAATCGTCTTGTTGTTATTATTGTTGTATTACGCAACGGGCCGCGGCTGTGACGTTACAATTGAAAATTGCACGCACGCACGTGACGGCGGCGACCGTGACGATCGCGAACGGTTTTCGTCGTCGCCCGCCGCCGCCGCCGCCGGTATAATATTATCGTAATGCCGTCCGTCGGGTCCGGGAACCGGGGGGGGGGGGAAATAAATCAAAGATCATCATCGCGTAGCCGTTCGATTCCGCGATTGTCGGGAAACCGGGCACGGCGATTTCGTTTTCCCCGCGAGGCGCCGCGCGTTCAATCGAAATGTAAATGTTTTTGGCGTGATTGAATCGGTTTTTTCGTTGCAAAAACGCTTTTTGTTTTTTTTTTTTTTTCTCTCTCTTTCCCTTCGCGCGCCGGGGCCCACACACGATCGTTTACGGAACGAACTGCGCGTATTGTGCCGATAGGGCAATCACGAAAACCGAACACTAAATCTTATTTCGAATCCGCGTATCCCCAGCGGGTCACGGCGCGCCCGTCTACCGAAAACTCGTTAATTCGATTCGCATCAACTCGTTTTATTTGTTTTATTAAATATTCGTTTCGTCTGGTCGTGCGACGCGCGTACTCGCCGCCGGTTTACCGGATTTCCCCGGCAATAGCGTTCGGCGGAATTTCAACGTTACCGGGTCGCTTTCGCCGGACACAACGCACGTTCGATCTCAACGTTATGATCGGCGCACGGATTTTATAGCGCTGGAAATAACTGGAATATGCGCTACAATATGTCTTGAGAATTTTAAAATAAGCTATCGTGTGCCATAAAAACGTGAAAAATGGCTAAAAAGACAATTTATTATTATTATTATTATTATTGTTATTATTTTTTTTTTTTTAAATGTATAAATACAACCGTAAGAAGTCATAAATGTAAACTGTTCGACGAGTCCAATACGCGGGGATACTTAAAAATAAATTACAATACGACGTGAAAATGTAGGTGTTTGTCTTACGGATTCACATAAACGAAACGCCTTTTCTACCATTTACGAAAAATACAAAATATTCTGGTATAGAAAAGTTATTCATAAAAAAAAAACATCATTGTAAAACCAGTAACACATTCATCGTTCGGCTCAGAGTCCGAAATCTACGTTCTTTAACTATTGCCCGTCTCGTTATACTGTACGTCTGTCTGTACCATTGCAGTTTTTCCGTTCAACACAAAAACCATCGCACCATCCCATTTTCAGATTTTCATTATTTTTGTTTTTGTTTTTTTTTAAATACATATAAGTGCTGATGGGTGTGCAACTGTTTAACGTGTGAAAATTGGGTACTTAAAGTTATTTAATTTTAATCTCTATGGACGAAATATGATTCCGAGGGAAGTTCGGTTAGACATGTTTCGAAATGATATAATTTTTTTTATCACTTAGAACAATTTATAATGAACTTCGTATTAAATTCGTAAGCGTTTCTGTCCGGCCAAACGATTGTAACCACATAATAATTACCAATTTATAAGTAAAAAAAACTCGAAAATATCGCATTTACAAATAAATTTTTACCAACTAGAATCGAAATGCTATTTCGTCATTCATTGATTGGAGCAAGATTTATGTGGAAAAGTTTTTCAAAGACCCAAAAAAATAGAGTAAAATACAAAATCGCACACAGCATAATAAAACCAATACGTTCCTTGTCCCGCTAAGAGACTAATATTACCATGCACTGTAGCTACTACTACACAATACAAAACATTACGCATTTGGTTTTGTATACTTAAATTTAAATTTTTCAGAGTCAGAGCATAGCTGTACTACTATGTGTGCTCTTTTAATAAAAACTTGTTTAGCCTGTTAATAAATTTTGACTTTCTACCAGAAATCTTGCTCCGGTCATCAGTATCAAGGACGGATTCTGGCTATAAATATTTTTTATAATTTCTGCGTTTGGATGTCTTTTTGTTTTTATATTTAAGGTTTTTTTAGTAAAATGAGGAAAATATAAAATTCGTTTTTTTTTTTTTTACACTTTATTGAAATTTCCTGGTTTTTCATTAGACGCAGAACAGAATTATGTAATTCATTTTTATCAGGGCTTCAAATTCAAATTTGTTTGGAAAAAAAAGTGTGTAAGAAAGTCAATTATTATTTGTTCAAGCTGTTTTCATAATAATCAGAAACAACCGGAAGAAACGTAAAACAAAAACGTACGTTCACACCCACTTGCTGAAATTGCGATTGTCTAAATTGCGGTTAACAGAGGATTCAGATCCAGTATTATTCAATATTGTTTTAACAAAAGCCAGCAACTTCGCACGTGGGTGGATCACTGTTGTAAGTGAAAAGCTGGGAAGGTAGTAGAGGGGAAATTTAATGCATATTTGTAAGCAGCGATAAACCATATTGCTAACGAAAAAGCGATTCTGAGCGGTGAATTTAGTTGATAGTGTTACTTCGTCAACAATATTATGTATATGTCATATTATAGTAAAATAATAACATAGGCATTACTGTATGTTTTCTTTAATAATAATTGTTTAATATTGTACCTATAATTCCATTTTTCCTAAGTTTTTCCATTTTTTTCTCCGTACTTCATATTTATTGAGAAAATCTTTCTAAAACCATTCGCTCAACTCAAAATCTAAAAACGAACTACTTTACGGCGTCAATGATTTTATCATTTTCGATTTTGTTTTTATTTGGTAGGTATTATGTGATTCAAATTGTTTTAATAAGAAATTCATTACAAGTTTAATTTAGTGCTAAAAAAAAAAACAGGTCACTGGTGTAGGTGAGAAGTTGGGAAGGTAGGATACATATATATTTATATCTATAAGCAACGATAAACCATTGTTTGACAAAAGAAGATTCCGAGCACTGTTCGGTAATACATAATTTTTGCGATTTTCGTTTAAATTTGATTTCAAAACGCTTATTAAAAAAAAAGACGTCCGATGATTTGGGAAATTTTACCACGTCTAGGTAAGTCCAATATAAGTATTATTACCAAGTTTCAAGTCTCTACGTGTGTTCGTAACCGAATTACAGCAAAAAACTCCCGAAAATTTAAATTCCTTAACAGCTCAAACGTGGCTCAAAATTTTTGGCGATGATACCGTAAGAAAATAAATCTAAAAGAAAACAAAAAAGGTATCTTGTGATCTTTCGATTAAATCATTGTTTCTGGTAGAAAACGTCGTCTGTATTTTTATAAAATAACAAAATCGTGAAATTGTACGTTTTCCCAAAGCACAAAGTGCTTTTATTTAAAAAATAGCGTCAGAAATCAAAAAACGACTTCTCTGATAGCTACACGTAAAAATCGGAGCAAGTTGACTAGGAAAAAACGTGACTACAGACTAAAACAAAGAAAAAATATACAACATTGTAAAACCAGTAGCTCCCTCGATATGCTCGGAATTTAAAACTTGTATAATCGAACTTCGCTCAGAAGCGTTTTTCGTTAGCAATGATTGCGAAAATTGCTTTCCTACAGATACAACATGTGCCCTACCTTACTAACTTCTCATCTAAAACAGCGGCACCCCCATCGGCAGTATCCTGTCTTCTTTTTCTGTCTTGTTTTTCTTTTTTTTTAATTGCGGCATCTCCTGAATGAGGTCAGAAAATACCAGAGTATAAAAAATCGGTACAAATGATCGAGAATATATTTCGTTTAGGGGTGACAGCGCTTTAAGGATTTTTACACCCCGGTGCTAAAAAACATTCTTCCTTTCCCATTTACATTGATACACCCATATTTAAATATAATTTTTCATTTTATTCGCTTCCTGTGTACCCTTAAAAAATTTCCACCTAAAATCATTTAAATTTTACCACCCTCGGAATTCCGCCTCTCCCAGTGGATGTGGAGGGCCACTTTCGGCCCTCCCCGTCCACTAAATACGTCACTGATTAGTGGCACCGCGGTCGCATCGGTGCAGTGATAATGCGTATAGGGTTCGGTAATAAGCTGGCAGCGCGCGTGGGAAATCGCCGCTGGGTTCAGGGTTGATGATTCTCGCCCCTTGGCGGCCTTAACGTGGTTATAATGATGGAGTTTCGATCGTAATAGTATTAATAATAATAATAATAATAACAACAACAACAACAACAACATCAACAAAACACTCGTAACATAATAAACACGATTGATGGTGTAATAATGATAATAATAATAATAGTAATGCTTAATAATAATAATAAAAAAAAAAAAATCTATACCGCGACCGTCATCCTTTTTGTCGGTCGTATTTTTTTTAATTTTTTTTTTTTTTGGTACGGCGCACACACAGATCCGACGACGCCGAAAAACCGGGGCCACTACCTCCTGTACTTCACGTTCTCCGAACAAACGGGCCAACACCGGATCACCGAGGCGATACTGTGGGTGTACAAGAAAAAGTCGGAACTCGTCATCGACGACCCGGTGATAATAATCGAGGTGTACAGAATCAACCCGGTTACCTTGCACCAAACTAAGGTATCATACATAAAGGTGAGCCGACGACGACGACGACGATGATCGTACTATATTAGGGGCTGCGCGGTCGTTGCGTGCGTAGCCGTGCGAAACAAACGTCGGGAATTCGTTTCGTTCCGCGGAGGCGGAATGGTACAGGTGTCTCTAGAGAAGCGGGTTCCTGTGGCCGGGGAATGCGGTCTTTTCGAAAATCGTGGAACGTCGTTTTTCGGGGAGGGAACCAGAAAAAAAAAAAAAAAAATTTTTTTTATTCTCGGACAAAGCGTGTAAACTATAATATTATTGTACCGTACGAGATTTCTCATAATCATCAGTGCGATGGCATTATCTATATAACATTGATAGAATCTTTCAAAAGACACATCCGCGGAGAACGGCATACTTCGTATTTGAAAAAAAAAAGAAAAAAAAAGCCATTATGCTCGGTTAGTTTAATACTATTTCGAATATTTAACGACGGAGGTACGTGCGTTTTGAATATTCGTTTTTATGAATTATCTTAATAACATTGTCTCGTTTCTATCTAGATAATAATACGTTTGTTAATATTCCCGACACTGCGCGTGGTAATTATGCGAATTATCATTCGTCCGCCGAAAAAAAAACTTGACAAAATGTACCTGCGTCGCGTAAAATCGATTATACACATTGTACAATGTTTTACGAGACGGCACACCGATTTCAATATCAGTTCCGCCACGTGTACGCAAATTCGTGCGATTGAGTATTAAAAATAATAATAGCTTTCCGTTTCTCCGAAGAAAATTTCTGTCCGCCATCGTAGTGTCGTTAATTTCCGCGGTGTACCGTGAGTCGTACAAAATCGAACGATAATGATTTTACACGAAGAATAGTGGTCGGCGCGTAGGCTATAGCCGTCCCTCCCGCCCCTTCAGATATTGGAGATTTTTTTTTTTTGATTTTTTACGAACCCTGCGTAATACGCGGGTATAATAATCGCACAGTTTATATCGCGCACATTTCCTCGCGATTTTCGTGCCTACGCGCCTCGCGCGTCGCCCGTTTAGCAATTTACTATCCCGAAAAACTCGATCGCAAATTCGTTTCGAATTCATAACGCCCCGAAAACGAATCCTAATTGCACCGTCATTGACGGTAGTTGCCCGCGTTGTATTGCACACATCATCGTACAACATCGTAATATCATTATTTGTACGCGTTTCGTATAGTATGGAAGACGGCAATTTATAAAAAAAAAAAAAAAAAAAAAAAAAAAAAACCCCAAAAAAATCCCCTTTCGGTCGATACTTTCCACTGATTCCGGGCCGACGAGAAGTACAATGTACAAGCATACAGCATACTAAATAATTATAGTTATTACGCGCTCGTTCCCGGACTAAGCGTTTAAATTATTATTATTATTTTTTTATTTTTTTTTTTTTTTTTTTTTTTTTTTTTTTCAACGCACACAATATTATCCGATAATTTTTAGGTAAGCACCGGCGTTGTTGCGTACGCGATCTACAAGAGTTAAGTACAATACTTCGTTGTACCTGCCCATGTATAATACGCCAACGTCAGTCGATTTATTCGTCGAAAATTAGTGTAAATGGGCACCACCTATAGGAGAGTGCCCGGTGTTCACTGGTTCGATTAAATCGCGTATCCGGTGGCGGCGCAAAGTATTTTTACTTTGATTCACCGATTTAATTATCCATCCACCCCAATCAAACCCAACCCCGCCCTACCGTAAATTCATCAAATTTTTGCGGTTTGAAATTATTCTAATGACTTTTGTTCGGTAAAAACATAATAGTTTTCGTTATATTCCCGAACACCAAAGTACCCACAACTCGTCCGCCCGTTTTTTGGTGAATCGCACGACGCAAATATATACCTCCTACCCCCTTCGCGCCGCCGGCGCTCGTACCCATCAAACTATCGCTGTGAATACGCAACGAGCACTGGACCACTCGGATGGCGAACAAATCGACGGCGTTTTGTTAAAAGGTCGTCTATCAAATTTCACTTGTTTTCAGGAAGCGAAAAATACTGTTTTCCAAAAAGATATACAGCGAAACAGTTTTTAATGATTTTTATCGTGGAAAGCAACAAAATTACTCGCACCCATAGTATACCGTGTACACAAAGTATACACGCATTGAATCTGGTTTACGACCTTTCACCGGTTTATGCTCCTAATTTTGTTGATTTTTTTTTGATACCGAAAATGTATTTTTCGATTTTTAGTGGTATACGACCGTTTTTAACAAAACACCATCCGAAATTATCTCCATTGCATAGTGTATTGATTGCAATGTTCAATATCGGAACTTATCGCAGCTAAAAATAATCCGAAGTATACGCATGACTATATAGATCGCATACAATACTTGTTTAATCAGTACCGCCGACATATTCTCTGTTTTCTTTTCTTTTGGATTCTGAGCGGAACGAGGAACGTATTGATTTTACAATGATGTTTACTTTATTTTTATTTTTTATTTTTTCTGTGAACAACTTTACTTTTCTACCGGAAATTCCGCTCCGATTTTCAAGTGTAGACATTTTTCTGGAAGGAAGTATGTCAAATCGTAAACATTACGGCCTTTCAAAAAGTGTATACGACAGAACCGCGCTCGGAATCGTTTAGGGATGCTAATCATTAGCAAAGATTAATCGTTGCGTACGGTAGATACGCATTCAATTTCCCCTCTTCCTTCCCACCTTTCCAACTCCCCGACAGTGGCCCGCCCATCGCGCAAAGTATTGTCCCAATTTTTTTTTATTTTTTTTTTTTTTTGTTTCGTCGGGTCGCATGCGACAATAAATTGTTATTATTATATCGTACCCGTAAACCGTTTACCATTGCTGGGAGAGATGATCGATGCGCGAACGACGTGACCCGGTGCAACTTTGGTTTTTCGAAAGCGATTTTTTTCCCCCTTTTTTTCTTTTACGGAGCATTAAACAAATAAATATTGGATTTTTTTAAATTTTACTATTATTATTATTACGTTATTTTTCGTTGGTTCGGGAACGCGGAGTAAAATTTAATGTTCCCGCATATTATGTTACTGCACACCGCCGACCGGCCTTTGGGTTCTGAATATTATCAATTATCGCCGACGGCGTACATTATATTGTAGCTATAGGTGTACACGCGGACGACTGCAGTCGTGCCCGGACCCGCCCGTATTGTTATATTGTTACGTCGCACCTGGGCGTTTTTTTTTTTTTTTTTTTTTTTTTTTTTTTTTTTTTTTTTTTGTATTCTATTATTATTATTATTATTATTATTATTATTTTTTTACACATGTTCGCAGCGGGTGATTAACACGACCGAACCGGGATGGGTACCGATTGACTTGCGCACTAAAAAAATGGCTGACTGGTTCAGGGCTAAGGACGGGGCCAAGAACCTGACGCTAGCGGTCCACGCGTGTTACGTGAACAATAACATGACGCACGTCAAGACGCCTTACGTAACGGACGCCAGAAAACGCGACGATATGACCGAGGTACCTACGCCGATTTGTTTGTCTTTGTTCGTTTAGCTCGACCATACAATAACGTGCGCTTGTCGCTTTATTGGACGCCGACTGTCACAACATTACGCGCTGTTACCGATATCCCGTCCGGGGCCGCGCAACACTGTCGTGCGCGATTAGTTTTACCGCGCCCGTAATTCACCGTCACGTGTAACGAGGAGCGCACCGTTTAAACAACGGTCGATTATCAATTCGCCCGGCGCGTGTTTAGACGTGCTAAACGCTAAAAACGGGCTCGACAGTTATTATTGTATTTACCGCGGTGATTGTTGACGGTGATTTATGCGTAACGTGCGATGCGAGCGACACGACTACTGGTGTTCAAATGCTCGACGGCGGTAAACGGCAAACGCTATCGGTGATTTCGCGACTTACGGTTTACGGCCCCGCGGCGGACGCGTGAAGCCCACTCCCGCTCGCGCTTTAAAACGATTCTGGCAGCGCGCCCGGTTACGTTGGTTTCGTTCGTCGGACGTTCGTAAAACATGTAAAACAGAACGAAATTGCTCATACCACCACCCCCGTACACATAATTTTAGCGCATAAGGCACGCGGCAGACCCCGTGCAGTTCGATTGGACGCCGTCAGGAAATCGCCGTTCGAAATTCCGAATAGAATATCGGAAAGACGTTTTAGTGCCGAATATTTCCCGGTCCGTCCCGAGGGCGGAAAATCGCGAACGACGACGGGCGTTGCGGTCGGGGTACTGTAGGGGAAACGGGAGAGGTCGACGGGAAAAGACAATAATAGCCATACGGCTATCCCCCTCCCACGGAGTACGCCGTACAGCGTGACAACACTGTTATGAATTACGATATTACGGCGTCGGACACGACACGCGAACTGTTTTGTGATACATAAATGTGATCCGCGTGGCTCGCGTGTATCGGAAAACCGAGCAATTCGATTCGCTGTACTCTCCGCATTAAACCGTTATTATCCGGGTGCACGCGCAACGGGGTCTCGTCGATCCGAATCGGGGAGAGAAGTCGTGTTCGGGTTACCTATAAGAAATTTAAAAAAAAAAAAAAAACAAAACTTTCTACTCATCCCGTAATTTTAACGCCGAACGCTGACGCGGGACCGTTTTATGAAATCGATTTCAAATACACAGTGTGAAACGAACACTGCGTTATGACGCACAACCGTCGAACGCAATCGACGCGTTTGCAATCGTATTAAAACGACGCGTGCGACACGATAGCATTTATTTCAAAAATATCCGTTTGAAATCGGATTTACTAGAAATATAGTCACGAATAAAATGTCCGTCGGGTAAATTGTTTTTTTTTTTTTTTTACTGGGCGATTTAAACAATATTTAGGAAACAACGACAATGCCGAATGAATTCAGAGAACTTGTTTCCGCGCAAGCTGCCAATAAATGAACGGCTTCTCTGTCGTTGGTTTTACGTTTGTCGAGTACTGCGAAATATCGAGGCGTCTAAATGTCTGATCGAGTCCTTTTCTTTTTGAGACGATCATTGGGTTAGAGAATTATCGCTGCCTGTCACTTCTGCTTTTTCCGAACTTGATGTAAAATTAAATGTAACTGAAATTTAAATTCGAAGAACATACATCTGAAATTAGATTAAAAAAAGAAAATCCCAAATTCAACTTTGTCAAACATATTTTAGAAAGTATCCACAGCATCACATTGATAAAATAACATTGAAAAAGATTTATCAATAATATGCACACAAAATAACAAATATTTAAATTCAGTACTAGAAAGTTATCGCATTCATAATGAAATAAAAAATAATAATTTCAATAATTTATTAAATGTTCAAATAGATTTAAAAAATTATATTTTATTTTTTTATCAACATAAACTTAAAGATGATAATAACTTTGATACTGTTATCTAATCAAATTTCTCTGCTATCATTGTTTTGTTATAAAATTATGTACAAACTAGTTTGATATTATAATGATTATGTTTATTTTTGTTTTAAAATTAATACTGTTCCATTTTTTAAATTGTTTTATATAAACCATTATACAACATTTTTTATCAGTAATCTGATGATGGCGTAAGCTGAAACTAAGTAGTTGCGCAAATAAAACGTATTAACACTAAATGTCAATATGTTTTTTAAACAAACTTTTTTTTACATATAATTAAATAAAAGTGTCAAAAAATCTCAAATATACATGAAATTTAAAATTAAACAATACGTTAAATATCGTAAAATATAAATCTTTAATTTTACTTACCTATGTTTCATTTCGACGAAAATGGTTCGTTTTGTTTGTGTATAACTCTTGATAATATGTTTGTTTTTAAATTCCAGCTCTACCCAGCATACATCCACGACTGTGATTGCGAAATCAAAAATTCTTTATCCTTATTAAATTTTATCGCGTTTAAGGCAAACGCATATGCGATATCTAAACTAAATATATATAATATATATATATATATATATATAACTAAATCGTTCATACTCTCTTCAAAATATGTTCTCTCTGTCCAGAAAACTCATTTTTTCTTGTTTTACTTTTATCGAGATTTCATAATCATCCATCTACTTTAGATTCAGAGCGTAGCATAGCCAGGGATCTATTGGTTTTATTATGATGTGTGTATATTTTTTGTTTTGTGGCCATATTTTCTACAATTTTATCTTGTTGGTACAATGGGGAGGTCATTTTTTGATTTTCCAAGGGGTATTCAAAGTAATCGGGAAAATCGGGAAAAATTTAGGGCACCGTGACGTTACCGATTTCGTTTACGATAATTTTTACCTACCAGAAATATTGCTTTAATAGAAAAATGCAAAGTGACCTTTTTTTTTTTTTAAGAATTTGTAAAACCGTAAATATTACGGTCTTTTTAAATATGAATAACCAAACTTCACTCTTAATCGTTTTTCGTTAGCAATGGTTTATCGTTGCTTACAGATATATTTAATATATATTTGTATATTTATTAAATAACTTAAAATAGATCCGACCTTCCCAACTTTCTACCTATAACAGTGGCCAGTGGCGTAGTCAGGATTATTTAATGGGAGGGGGAGGTGTTGAAGTATGAATTATACTATAGTTGATTCCGCTTAATGTCAACACGTTGGGACCAGTTACAATTTCCCACATTAAGCGGTTGCCCATTTTAACCGAAATGAGCATCGTTACACATGATAATCGGGACAGGACCGTTATGCCCATATTAGGCGGGTGCCCGTATTAACCAGAAGTCACATTAAGCGGAATCCACTGTATTAGTTTTTTACGGTTTTAGATTATGTGTGGAGCGAGGAATGTATTGGTTTTACAATGACGTTTATTTATTATTTTTTTAATAAATGGGAAAAACCCAGAAAAAACACGGGGAAAACGGGAAAATATACTAATAATACATATTTAATTATTTTACCATAATATAACATATATATATATATATTGTTGACAAAGCAAAATTATTAACCGAACTCTGCTCAGAATCGTTTTTTCGTTAGTAATGGATTATCGTTCCTTACAGATTTACATTAAATTTCTCCTCTATTACCCTCCCAACTTCTCAAAATGTAACAGTGATTGCGCCCGTCTCCAGTCTCCATTATCCCAGGACAGCTTCTTTTTTGTTTTTTTTTTTTTTTGGTCAATGTTTAGGTATTCTTATTGAGAAATTCAAGAACCAGGTTTAATGGTGTAAATAGAAAAAATAAAAATAATCAATTGATAGGTATACATATACTACAATATGAATCTTAAAGTATTTTACTGTTAATTTACAACAAACATATTTTTCATGTTTCACTGGTAATTGACTCTAAACGTCTTCCGGCCATGTTATTATTTCCCAGAAAACAGTCACTTTTATGAATATAAACACACGAATGTATCGAATATCGTGATTAATATTGTAATCAGTCGTTACTCGGTAGAATAGTAATAAACCACAATCCACGGTTTGTTAAAAAATCGTGATAAATGATTTTAATAATTATAATATAATATAATAATAATCTATTTGGTCTCTGGACGAGTTTTAGAAGTGTTTTGTTCAACCAATTTACTAATGATAACGTGCTCATAATAAAGATAAATAATAATTTATTTTAACCCGTTATCCGTTATTATCACGACTTAAGATACACGATTTAAGTATATCTTAAACCGCGGTTATTATACATTTTCTAATAGTATGACCATGAATATTAGAGATATCCCAAGCTATTTTTTACAATAGAATTAACGAAGTATACAATAATATGAATACATTTATTCGGTTAAAACATGTGAAAAAACCAAAGGGGGGGGGGGTTTAAACATCCAAAACCCCCCTGGATACACCACTGACAGTGGCGCATCCGTCTTCAGTATCAGGTCTTTTTTTTTAAATTTTCTCAACCAATGGCATCGGTCTCGTGTTGGTAATCGTGCTTTTCGCAAAAAGATTAAACATTTATCAATAACCAATGAAATATGTTCTCAAAGTTAAATCAACCATTCTTATATTAAAAAAATTGAAACACTCGAAACATTTTTTTTTTTTTTTTTTTACAGTAATATTAGTTCAGTACCGAGTATTTAAGTTTTCAGAACACCAATTAAAAATATTTTTTGACGAAGTATCATTTTACTATTTATATGGACAGGGCGATGAACGCGCACTCACTATAAAATTATGAAACGAGATATAATTCGAGAATCATAAAACGTACGCAATATATAAATAAAGATTATATTTAAAACACATGTGTGTCCGGTACGTATAATCGATTTTTTTATGGCGATAACATTAATCTACCGTCCGATTGTATTACGAAAAAATAAACTTATAAGTTAAGTTACCAAATAAATTCAACCGCACTTCATAATATGCGGACACTTTGTTACGGATTTATTCAGCCTATAATATCATCCACTGTAACCACACAACGGTAAATCATATCAAATTTCCACTTATACATTGCGGGGAAATTAAATTTAAAAACAAATTTATGTAGGCTATTTTATCATATGTTCATTTCACTCGTTAAATATATTGAAATTACTATAAAATAGCCACTTTTTGAAATAAATGATTTTTTTTCAGAAAATTATAAACCAGAATCTAAATCAAAACATTTTTTATAGATAATTTTATATTTTATGATTAAAATCATGTTCATTTTATAAAAATGTTATCTAATTTAATTTTAAAAAAAATTCGAAAAATGGCCTAACTACACAGTGGTAATTTATCAACCCTTTGAAAGAGTTGAGCTATCATCACCGAATTCCACCGAAATTTCTCTGCTATACCAATGACCAAAATGAGAGGATGCTCGATTAAAAATTTAAAAGTAAAAAAAAAATAAGAATCATACACAAAATATACACCTATAATATACTCGTAATATTTAATACTCATAATACATTATTGTTTTCTTAAGTGAATATAGTTGGCAACTGTAGGTTGGTAGTTAGAAAGGTAGACTATACAGTGTAATTCATAGATGAAATACTGTATACAACGTCACAATGATAAATCGTTGCAAACGAAAAACGATTCTGGGCGGAATAGTATAAGTAGTTTTTCCCTTTGTAGCAAACGGTATCCAGAAATCAACAAATATCAAAAAAGAAAGACCTAAAGGATGAATTACTAAGAATGTTGATAAATGTTTCCAATAATAACTGATTAGAAATTCCACAATTTTTGAAGTACTGAGTGAATATAAATTGTCGTTAACGAAAAACGATTATGAGTCAAGTTCAGTTATATACGTTTTGATTTCCGTAAATTTTACGATTAATGTCAAAAAAACTGCTGCATTATGTCCAACTTGTTTTACCTTCCATTAAGGAAAAACTTATAATGAACGTCGTATTAAATTTCTAAGTATTTATTTTTGTTCAAAAATTGTATTGAACATTAAACAAAATAAAAACTTTTAATAATTTCAAATGCCTATAAATAGTTCAAAAATCGTCAATATAAGAAAACTAATATTATCATTTTTGATTTTTTTTGGATTTTCTGGTGAAAATATTTCAAAAGTCTTGAAAAGTCTAATAGACGTGTTCTGTGCACACTTTAGGTCTATACGATTAGTTTTAACCGAATAACAAGAAAAAAAAAGACAAAATCGAAAATGACGAAACTGTATCCGTTTTTCTCGATCAGTCGCCAAGGGTAATACACCCGGAAAATCGAAAAAACGACCGTCCGGTGCGTCAGCAGCTGCAAGAGTGAACTGTGTGCGTTGTTACGAAAAAAGGCTTCCGGTTGAAATGTCGCTGCTAACGGATAGAAAGCGAAAAATTCGCACGCGTCGTGGTGCGGGCTCAGAACGTTAAAGATGAAAACCAAAAACAAAAAAAAAAACAACAACACAAAATCCTATTCGGGAGACACCCTAATAACGTAACAATAGTATAAAACAGTGTGTAATAACATAATATAAAACGTGAATAAATTGTATGGGTATTATAGTGCGAGCGGTGCCTCTGTATACGGAAGATTATAATATTAATATTATTATTATTATTATTATTATATAGAGGCAGTCGAGGCGTTTCACGTCACAGCGTCTGGCTCTCTCTTTCCCGTCACGCAGCAACAGCGCGCGCGGCTCCGCCGTCGTACAAAATAATAATAATAATAAAAAAATCGTATTATATCGTTCGTTTCTCCGGCACATCGCCCTCCCCTCTCTCTGTCTGTCGCGCAACCGTGTCGCTCACGATTTTTTTCGTTTTTTTTTTGTAAAGTCTCGCCGCCCGTTATACCGTCATCGCCGCGCGGCGACCGCGGCGGCACCTCTATACCCGCAATACCGTCGCTACAAAAACACCGTCACTACAACAACAGCACCCGCGCAACGAACGCGTATAATAGGTAGTAAAAAAAAAAAAAAAATTATAAAAACACGCTCGTCTCCGCACCCTTTAGTCTAATCCGATTGGTCCGCAATGTTATTCTTGGGCCCCCCCCCCCTCAGAACTCGTTGAATGGCGCGCGCGAGCGTGTGGCGAAACGCATGGCGTCGGGGCCGACAAGAGACGACCGTCCGCGCGGGAGTCCCGGTGCCGCAGTGGTCGCGGCCTTTTCGCGGATTTCGGCCGGGCTAACCGGGCCGTCTCGTCCGGATTGCGCGGGGCCGACCAAAATATGTCGCGGCTATCGGCTATAACAATGTAAAAGGCTGTTTTACGATTTCGGGTTTTCGCCGTGCGGTCGAAACCGCGGTATAATGGCAAAACACCGCGTGCGTTATCGCACCTCGTCCGGCCGCCGCACGGTGGCAGTAAACGGCCGGCTATACGCGGCAGATGACCGGGGAAAGAAAAACCCGCCGACCATCGAAATGAACACACGATTAATGATAATCTCGATGACGTTTTCAATGACGGTTTCAAACAATATACTAGGACGGGGTGATAAAAAAAAAAAAAAAAAAAAAACCTTCGATTTTTATTGTAACCGTGTGACGGCGTTCGTTCCGTGCAAACACATTAAGTGTTTATAATTTGAATTTCGATTTTGAAGCTGTCAAAATACGTACCCGATTGGTTCGTTTCATTTCCTTTGGTACGGATAGTATTTTTTCCGGTTACGCCCGTATTATAAAGGGATAGCTTGACGGGGAGCGTCTTCTGGAAACGGGACAAAATGCGTTCCGTTTTAAGTTCACCGGGACAAAGTGACGTTACGCTCAAAAATTGAAAAACCGCTGTTTACAATGGATCATAATAACATACGTAATCAATGACGGCGAGACGGTTTTTTTTTTTTTTTCTATGTACAAGCAGTTTCAGTAGAATATAGCAAATCACCTCGTATACGATAATTGAAGCCCAGAAGAATTACCGGGACCCGTAAATAGACGTTCTTGTACGGCCGCACTTCTCCTTTTGCGTGCACTTATTATCTGTTAATAAAGTACCACCCATACACACCCACTCACTCGTATAATTTGGCCATGAAGCAACTGCATCATAGGATACCCATTCGCGCCACTTTTCAAGTTTACGCATACCGTTCTAGCGGGCACGTATCCGGAACCTTGTCAGGCGAGAGGAATGCGATTGATTTCTTTTTACGAATTGTCCAACATGCGTCCTTAATATGTACAGAGTATCCCATTTTACATGTATCACTAAATATCTCAGCCCGATGACCTTTAGATTGAAATTCGGTTTCCTTGATACTTCCTTGTAAGTACGGTACTCTCTATGCCGAAATGCACATCTTAACACGAATTTAAAATGCTAAATCCTTTCGACGTCCGTATCCGCAATAGTACCAATAACCTACTCGTACATGTTTTTAAAACCAGATACGAATATTCCTGTAGTTCAAGCAACTTTGATCAGTACATTTTTGTTGTTTAAACGCATTGGTTTTTTCTTCAATACGTTTTAGATTTTGAGTGGAGCAAAGTATTATATTGATGTTTATTTGTACTATTATTATTTTTCATCCGTGAACAACATTTCTACTAGACATTTTTCTCTGGTTTTCAATTATAACACTTTTTCTGAAAGGAAATCTGACTGGGGCGGTACTTTAGAGAATAACCATATAAACATAGGTACACAACCTAACTAAATATTATTAAAGATAACGTATAATACATATGTAATTAATAATAATTATTGTACGATAATATTAACATTTATATATTGTTGAAAAAGCAACACTATTAAACGAACTCCGCTCACAGTCTTTTTTCGTTATCAACGGTTAGTCTTTGCGTCCAGACGTGCATTCAATTTTCCCTCTACCTTCTCAACTTCTCGCCTACAAATAGTGGCCTATCCATCATGCGAAGTAGGTCCGTAAAAATCTGTTTTAATTTTGTGTATCCGTTAGCAGATTTTCTATTAGAAATCTTACTCCAATAAAAAAAAAAAAAGACAAAATAGTATTTTAAATATTATTGATACATTAAGACTTTCCGAACAGTTTTCATAATAATTTGGAAAAAAACGTAAAAGAATAACAAACATATTTGCGGCGTTAACGATTTCATTATTTATTTTGTCTAGTTGATGTGTAAGAAAATTATTTTATTATTTTTTCGTGAAATTTTCTTAATGATCGGAAAAAACCGGAAAAAAGTTGGGATACACAGAAAAGTTTACGGCATTAGCGGTTTTATTATTATTATTTTTTGTTTTAGTAATCAAATTCCACAGAATACTCACAGTAGTATTTTCTAGACGTGATAAAATGTCAAAAAAATTTTGGCGATTTCCAAGTTTCTTTTTGTTTTATTTTTATTTGATTAGTATTAGACAAAATAATTTGATCAAACAGGAATGCTTAGAACTTAACACGGCGCTCATTTAAAGTTGTGTTAAGTGGTAAAAAAATAATTTGAGCACAACGAAGTAATTTTTTTTTTTTATACGCGATTTAAGAGCAAATTCCGATATTAATGCACGTGGTTTTAGCAGTGCAGTTTTCAGTGAATATTTCGCTACATTGTCTGTTACTTGGTTGCGATACGGCCAAAAGGTTGTTTTTTTAATGTACAGTAATGTTCCACTAGTATACAAAGACTGTAAATGTACTCGTAGTTTTTTATTGTTTGCTGATTCTGGTAACCCAGTTGTCCAAAAGTGTACTCGGTTATTAGATGACCGCTATAAAACAATATCACCAAAACTGTTTGTTCGCTAAACTAGTAACCAGGTTGTTCAAAACTTCATCGGCAAAACACGGCTGTATTGTAAATAAACGCGATCCTGGTTGATTTTCAATATATTAACATTCAATAAAGAGTTTTTGTAAAAAAAAAATATCCTTTTGACCAGCAGCTAATATTATTAACCGTATTATTATTAAAACATTACGTGTTATACACAACCCTATGCGCTAATGCAATAACGCGTTAATGTGCTGACGTGCTGCACACACGATTTAAGTTTATATTACCGACTATTGTGATTATACGTGGACGCGTGTTTTTCAACGAGACCAGTGTAATATAGTCCATATATTAAGTATAATACAGTACTTAATATGTGGAAATTACGAAAAAATACTCAAAGTTAAATTGAAAAAAATATTTAGTTACATATATTTAGGAGTATATATCGGTATCTTTTTATAATTTTTTTTGTTTTTTTTTTTATCAAATTCACGGTTTGTATTCCCACTGTTTGCCTTTCGTGATTATGACCCGCGTCACTGTGCCCATCATACAAATTGCAGAAACGACGACGTGAACACGACCCGACTGACGGACACTTATTATATTTCTTTTACTTTTCGGCGGATGATAATTATATTGTGCTCCTGATGACGATGAGGTTATAGCATAATATTATAAATGTACAACAACAATGTCCTCGGCAGTGTTGTGTAGAGAATGTCCAGATAAAGATAATCAACCGGCAACCGATTTTTTTTTTTATCTAGGTGAAAGATTATTTTTTTTTTTTTTCGATTATACCAATCGTTAAACTAAGTGTATCGGATTCGGTACTTGTATAGATTGCAAAAATGTCAATATCGATTTATGTAGATGAATGATGATAATTCAGCTACGTCAATTCATTTATTAACCGGTACACTCGTATTGTAAATTAAATACAGCGCTTATATTTGTTTAACGAATTTATAATCAATTACGATTTAAAAAGATTTATCTAAATCAGTGGCGACCGACTACGGCCCGCAATCGTTTATTAATCGGCCCACAAAAGTATCAAATCAAAATTGATAAAAAAAAAAAACGTCAAATTTCAAAAATTAACACTCACACTAAAAAAAAAATATGTTTATAATTTACATTTTTTTAAATATATATAACTGTAACTACGTTAAAATGTGCCTACAATAAAGTTTAAAACCTATTCTGTTAACTTAAAAATAATTAATGTTTACAGTCTTGGTCCGCCAAGAATTATTGTTTTTTTCGTATGTAAAAAAAAATGTTTGATCACCGCTAATCTAGATAGATGTATTATTTAGACGAGCCGATTGTTTGATAACGGCTCAGATAACTCGGACAGCTTACTCCCCATTCATCCGGGATACGATAAAAACAATATAATATCTGTGTGTCCGTACAGTTGAAACACGACACTCGTGTCCTCGATATAGTATCCGTGTTATCGCCTGGTAAAATCGTCTTCTCTGTCCAACTCGAGAATTTAAAAGCCAGATCGTAAAAAACAAAAAAAGCGAACTTCCAATCGACACATCAGCTTTCCCCCGCAACTCGGATGAAATTCACGCATTTCCATATTAGACGACTCATATTATTTTTGTATTTTTAAACCAACGGGGGTGGGCGGTACAGCCCCAATTATCTCCCGCCCCCTGCGCACACCGCTGACCGTATACGCTTTTGCGTAACGGTATTACAATAGTGTACGGTTCCGCCATAAAAAAAAAAAAAAAATATCAAAAATTCAATATACGCAATACCGTAACATTGAAAAATACCTAATATCCGGCGCGCGCGTGCGCGCGCGTTTGTGTTTTGCGCAGATCCCGTACCTGGAGGTGCACACGGAGGACGCCCGGCGGTCGCGGTCCAAGCGCAACGTGTTGGGATTGGACTGCAACGAGAACTCCAAGGAGCCGATGTGCTGCCGGTACCCGCTGGAGGTCGACTTCGAAGCGTTCGGCTGGGACTGGATAATCGCGCCCAAACGGTACGAGGCCAACTACTGCTCGGGCGAGTGTCCGATGGTGTTCCTGCAGCGGTACCCGCACACGTACCTCACCCAGATGGTGAACCAATTGGACAACAAGACGGCCGCGTACTCGGGCACGGGGCCGTGCTGCTCGCCGCGCAAGCTGTCCGCCATATCCATGCTGTACTTCGACCAGGACTACAACATCGTGTACGGCGTGCTGCCCGGCATGGTGGTCGACAGGTGCGGATGCATGTAAGCGTTCGCCGCGGCGCCCTTGCGTCTAGGCCCGCCGCCGCCGCCGCCGCCGCCGCCGCGCACGGGACGCCGAAATCACCGCCACCGTCTCCACCCGCCACGCATCCGTCGCCGTTACGTGCCGGCGTCGTCCGTAGACGTTATAATATCATATTGTGTTTTCCCTCCCTCCGCGCAGACTTGTAAAGGAATATTTTTTTTATTTTTTTTTTTTTGTGTTCTCTTTAAGTACGTCGCGTGCGCCGTATAACAATACAGATAACGCTGTTATCGTTTTAAAATGCGTTTAGAACGCGGGTATAGAGTATAGATACTTCACACACACACACAAATAATAACAATATAATAATATTCCTCCACGAATAGTGTTTATAAACGTGCGTTCTCAAATAATGTTTTACCGAATGCCGAGGGCGCCTGTAAAACCGCATGGTAAATTATCGGAAGTCGACTTAACGGTTGCCGGTTCGTGAAGCGATTTTTAAGTAATTTTCTCGACGGGTTTTAAGGATTAGCCGCCCAAAAGTACTACGAACTGATAAGTAATCAATGGTATTTCGAAAAAACTTAACTTTGAGTTTTCTGATTTTCCAGTAAATCATATAAATAAATCGTGCTAATTTTCTTTTAACTGGTATAAATAACGTGTATGTAATTAATTGAAATTTCATAATTATTTATGTAGTTTAATTAATAATAATTGGAACTTGCAAGTTAATATTTCGAACCGTTGTACATTTCAACGCGTGATAAACTTCGCGTGATTACCAATAACAGTTGAAAATATTATTTTTAATATTTTAAAAAGCTATTTAAAATAATACCGAATAATTTTCGAAGAAGTATTTAAAAATATACGTATTCTAACGCTCATTTTAATATTTTCATTCGTCATTTTTCACTAAATTACTTTACAAGTCTACTCCTCCCCTCCCCACCCCCCGTTATTATTATATTATTGTATTGCGTTATATTATACAATATGTACCTATTACTGTACTATGTCTTTATTTTCTATATTATTTTTTGTTTGTACGTTCGAATGGTTTAAAATCTCGAATCTAGGACTTTTCTCCCCCGTACCCTATTCCCCCGATTCTTTGGACGTATCCGCCTCTCTAACCGGGACAATAACCCCCTTACCCCCGGGAGAATATATTAAAAGTATACAAATATTAAACGATACACTAATCAATCATTTTTTTTTTTTTATGATTATTAACATTCAAAATTGAACGCCGTAAAAATACAAAATTCACCTATAAAAATTACCGATTTTTACGTTCAGTAATTTCGGAGCCCATTATTACGTATGTACACCCTGGTCCCTAGTAAAAAAATAATCAAGTATAATATAAAAATATAAAATTAAAAACGAAATCATGTAAGTATGCACTGTTATAAATTCAATTATATACTATTTTATTCAGGGGTAAATGCCATAAACCAGGGAACCAGGAAGGACGTCCAAATTCCTATAAACCCTGACCACCAGCCCAAAGTACATAGTTTTGTAGGTACTTGCGCGCGCAGTTGACGAGTTGCGTCCCGACTGAATTACCAGTACACGTGTTTCGTCCGATCGTAAAACAAAAGAATGCACGAGTGTGTTGGTTCCCGACAATACGCCGGTAGTGGACCCGAGGGGAGGGATGATAATAGGGCATTTGGCCCGCCCCTATTTTGAGCGTACTATATAATGAAACGTTAGTGTAGGCACTATAATGTATAGAACCATAGACTGCGCTCGGTATTGGATACATTTCAATATCCCCATCCCTTGAAAGAATGCTCGACGCGTTCTTGACACGCATACATTTTTAACATTTTTTAAATTTTTTTCTTTATCAATTTATCAGAACGTGTTTACTGGAAAAAAAAAATGGCAATATAAATGTTTTTATTTTAGCAACATAATAAAACATTAAGCAAAACTATTATACCGCATAAGTCATAAACTCGCAAATAACGAATAATTAATTTTCAAGTGTAAATGCGAGTATATTAATTAGTTATCATTATTTATAATGCGTGTTTGGTGAAATTTTTAAATGCTCCATTGTATTGCACGCTCGAAATTCGCGACGTTAAAATGCACCATGCAATACAAAATGTACACAAGATTATTTTTCGTCGACATGAAATTAATTCAACTCGTGTGCAACGAAACCAAAAACTGCGGGACCCAAGACGCAACTCGTTTGCATCATCTGCGCGCAATGTCGACCGAATTCAGTTTTTAAAACGCGCCCATTTACTTCCACAAAGAGATAAAAAAAAAAAAAAAAACCACACAGGCGGTAAATTTTACGAATATTATGATACACGACAGGAGTCCAATAATTTTCGGAAAATCCGATTTTTTTATAGTTTTTCTCCTACAGTCAATTTCACGAGTTTTAAGAGTTCCAGACACATTGAAATACAATAACTCTTTGCGATTATTTCCCGGTAGGTGGGTTATTAATATCATCGAATTAGAAGACAATCAGGAACAGTCAATTATTAATTTTAAGCGAAAATACAATCAAACAGCAAAATATATAATAATTATTTTACGACAATACCAAATTTCTCATCAACAAACATCGTTTACGTGTGTCTTCTTTCATTTTAATTATTATGTTATTTATTGACACACAAATTTCTCGTTGTTTTTTTTTCCATATTATTATTTCTTGTTGGTTGTCCGTATTTTTTAAAATTAATTTTTTTATTTTATACTCGTAAAAGTGATGAATAATAATAATTAATTTCGTGCACTACCTCGCTTTCGCATTGTATTTTAGTTTTTTTTATCTTTTTGAAGACATTTTTCCTTGTTTCACATCTTCAAAAACTTTCAAAACAAAAAAAGTATTGTTATTGTGATATGTACATAATTAAGTTATTTTACTATATGTTTGTACCTATTCACAATATTTGTATACTGTTTCTCCCCCCTCCTCCCCCCCATTAGGTTTCCGCTCATAATTAAATTCGTTATGCATCAATTATTTACGTTTAAGCTATATATTATAATAATATTTTTTACTATAAATTAGGTAAAAAGTCTTATATACTTGGTTATTTCTGTGTTTAAAATAGATATATTGTTAAAATACCTATATTCTAAATGGCTAAAAATAATTGAACTTATTTTATCTTTAATTGCCTATAGTATTAGAAATAGGTACGATTACTACAATACTAACTATATTAGGTATTATATTCAATTATTTGCATTTTTTTTTTTTTTTTTTTTTGTATCATTTTATCATTTAGTATTTACTGCCTACGTCTTATTTTTCTAATATTTTAAATACATCATATAATTATATTATTATGTTTAAGTTCCTTTTTTGGTTAAAAATATATTTATACTAAACACTATATTTATTGTATTCCTATAAATAGTACTTAAAAAAAAAAAAAAAAAAAATCGAAAACACGATATTCTGATGAAACTACAAGCGTTTTAAATGTATTTATATGANTTTTTTGGTTAAAAATATATTTATACTAAACACTATATTTATTGTATTCCTATAAATAGTACTTAAAAAAAAAAAAAAAAAAAAAAAACGTTTTGATAAAAGATTTTATTTTATTTTAAATTCATAATCTGTTAAGGTTTTATTAATAATAATGAATTACTCATAAATTATAATAATATAACTTTTAGTTATCGATTGCCTATTTAATTTGTAAATAAATAATATTTTTAAATAATTAGGAAAACGTTATGAAAATTACAAAAAAAAAAAAAGGGATACTATATTATATAAGGGAAAAAGTGGGAAAATACTTAAGAATTGTTACTTAATATCTTAATATTTAAGAATTCTAAGAAATATGTTTTATTGAAATGTTAAATCAAGATTTTTAATAATTTTCACGAGTAACTATATTCTTATATTTGTAAGTTAATTACAATTGTAATAACAAAAAAAAAAAAAATCGAAAACACGATATTCTGATGAAACTACAAGCGTTTTAAATGTATTTATATGAAGTATAATATGTTCAAATAATTATATAGATGGACCACTGAAATTAAAATATTGTACGTATTAAATTATAATTTTTATCAACATGTTTTTATTTTATGATTACAATATTTTAATATATAATATCGACATTTCATTAATTGTTAATAACCTTATTATGTTTTTTTTTTTTTTATATATATATATATATATAAAGTATTGAACTATAATGGTATGAATTCGATGAGTCGTGTTAAAACATTACAAGATATTGATATAAAAAGGCCATTAAATGGGTATTAAAGGGATTGCGTATAGGCAACTTATTTGACACATTTAGATTAAATTTTATCAACTCTAAGTTAATATTCAAATACACTTGAATATGCATTTATATGTAGTTATGAGCCATGATCACAAGTATTTATTATATAATTGTAAATCCCTTCAAAAAACGCTGACGGAAAAGAATTACATGGACAATGAACTTATTCAAGAAACCAGATTTTCACAATAAAATAAGAGAACCAGCACTGTTAGCACTGTGTCACGTTAGTTTTAGTCAATCTCATGGTTATGAAAACAGTTATTTCTAATTTGAAAACCGTAGTTGTATCGGATATCATGATAATCATAATTTATTTTAATTTTTGATATTGAAAAACTAAAATCTACATTGCACAGTGCAAGTTTTCCTTTCTGTATAGTGACTATAATGATTTCTACAATAGTACTCAGTAGTTTTTGCCCGCACAAAATAATTTTGCTATCGAATTATTGGTGGTAACATGCTCTTTTAAAACACCAATCAGTCTTATCGAATTGTGACACTGTAAATACAAAATCCTAGAACTTTTAACTATATAAGAGAAATTATACTTATAAAAATAAAACTCTACATGATACATAATAAGTAACTATATTTTTCATTCCCTTGCTGTTTTCGTAAATGTTGAACTGTGGACAAATGCAGTTTTAATAAATAATAACCTGATTTTATATTTTATGCAACGTGTATAATTAAATTTTAATTTGTTGATGTAATAGAGTAGATTACACATTTTGTTGATTCGTTACTAAAATTTCTTCAGTGATCATGTAACAAAATAATAATTAAAACAAAGTGTTTTTTCAATCGACATTAAAAAAACTTACACTATACTATTAACGCGTATTATACATGATTATATAACTAAAAATCTAGCATATTATATATGTACTTTTTAGCGCTATTATAAAAATATTAATATATCTTCGTGTTCATTTATTATGTGACTTATATAAATCAAATATAATAATAAACGGCATTATAGTTACCGTTTTATTTCTTTATTAACGGTGGATTGATGTGGCAAGCCCGAGTCAAGAGGTGCCTTGATTTTAAATTGTATTAGGATCGTTGGCCAGTGGCCGTGATGCCAAGTAACCTGTTTTAAATTAGTGTCACATGACTTATGTACAACACTTAAAAATGATCGAAGATACCGTTCTTTTTCGGCTCTTAGATGTATAAAAAGCTGTTTGCGATCCATGACTACAACGGTCTTTGATTCAAGTAAAGAAAGGCTTGAGTCAATTTTAAAATTGTTTTTCGGCATAATTATATAACTAGATGAATTAGGTCGCTAACCTAAATGACCGTTGTAAATAGTTTAAGTTATATAATATATGTCTTTTTTATTAAATAAAAAAAAAATTTTTGTCATATTATTATTTTAAATTTCAGTATAACATACTAACGAAAATACATATACTTATTATATTAATACAAGAATAAAGGGACACAAATTACATAAGATAAAATTAAAAGTTAGCGTATAATATATATTAGACAATAGAAAGGGCCGATCACAAATTAAAAATTTTTCAACAGTTTTATTGTACTTTTTAGGCATTTTCCCATATTAAAAAAAAAAAAATATATATATATATATAATAATTAATTAAATAGTAAAAAAAACACATTATAATAAAACCAATACACTCTTCATTACACCCCGAGTCTAAAAACAAAACAAAATCAATAAACAATTGAATGTGTTTTGTGTTTCTGATGGGTTTTAAAACTTAAATATTACACCGGAATCGTAAAAATTAACATTTCATTAAAATAAAATCTTTCATTAATTAGGATATCGAATTAGCTTTAAAAACGTTGTGTAATACATTGAATATTACCAGTTCTATCACTAAAAATATAAGTGTTGTCACATTAGTAAGCCATACATTAATTCACAATTAATTACGCCATTGTAGCTCGATTAGAAGAAGTTGGGAAAGCCGCGCAAGTTTTGATTTAAAAATGAAATTGATTTAGAAATGGCTGAAAGTCTTAAATATTATAAAACTAGATTAACAATACCAAAAACTTTAAGAAAAAATATATTGAATTTATTATATGAAACATATTTAGGTTTCGTAAAAATATATAAAATAGTTGAATTATTGTTTTATTTGCCGACAATGACTTCGGATTTAAAGTCGTTTGTAGACAAATGTAACATATGTAACAAATTTTCTAAATCGCAGATAAAATGACAGTTACCTAATTGTTTATCGAATGCCATATTTACCATTTAACAAGGTAAGTGTAGAGATAGCTACATTTTTTTTAATCTTGGTGGATTATTTTTCTAAATGGATTGAGGTAAGGTTGCTAAATAACAAAACTTCAGTAGAGTGTGTGAGGAAGCTTAAACAAATATTTAGTTTACATGGAATACCTGAAGTAGTAGTGGCGGATAATATACACTTTATATATAATATACGATTTATTGATAATAAATCGTGAGACATTGTTAAGATTAGAAGAAGAAAATAGTAATAATAAAAAAGAAAGAAGAAATAAGAAAGAAAGAGAAAATAATGAGAATAAAAAAAAAAAAAAATGATGTTGAGGAGATCTCATATGAAAATACAAATCTCTATTAGGCATACGAATAATTAGGTAAATAAGTAGGTAGAGGTATTAAGATTTATTTTATAAGTGATATGAAATATACTATGTTGTTATCAGGTGTTTATTAATACCCATTAAGTGATTTTTTATGTAATGTAATTTCAAATGATATAACAATTTTAACAGTTAAAAAAAAGAGCATGTATAATGGTGATAATAGTGATAAGAGCTATAACAATAAAGATAAAATATAGTTGGGTTAGGTAAGATATTATAATATATAAAATATAAGATCTAATTTGCAGGAAGGTAAATCAAAAAGGCAATAAAAAAAGGTATCTTGTGATTTCTCGATTAAATCATTTTTTCTGGTAGAAAACGTCTTCGGTGTTTTTATAAAATAATAAAATTGTGAAATTGCACGTTATCCTACATTTTTTCCCACTTGAGTGTTTTTATTTAAAAAAAATGGCGTCGAAAATCAAAAATTATCCTATATAAAGTACAATTTTGATAACTTCATCTCTCGGAAAAGTTACTACACGTATATACCGATTTTTTTCAATTGTTTTAATCTCGACCGGAATTCGTTTATCGCGACTGCACCTTACAACATTCTCGAAAATAATTACAATATTAAACAAATATTATTAAAGAGAATAACTGAACTCCGCTCAGAGTCGTTCTTTCGTTAGAAATATTTAATCATTGCGTACAGATATGCATTAAATTTTCCCTCTATTACCTTCACAACTTCTGACCAATAACCGACCAAAACGCGTGTGCAGTTTGACCGTTTTTAAAATCATCTTGACCATAGAGTACGAATTATAATAAACTTCCTGTTAAATTTTTAATTATTTCTATTTAGTCTATTAATTGTATGCATAGAATACTTATCGTATAAAAACGACGTAAAATAGACGGCTCTTTTTTAATGATTGTACAAAATTTACATGAATATTTCTCTTAATACAATTATTAATATATTATATAAACATAAAATGTGTATAAAAAAAATTGTATTATACAAAATAGTCATGTAAAGAAAGATGCAAAATAATTTTCTTATGTGAATTATCGGTGGTATTACAACTCCTGAATTGTTTTAAGGATTCGTGAATCGTTGCTATTGTTATAATACAGTCAAAGCGGTCGTTATTCATTATTTGTTTTGT